GCAGACTGTTTAGCCCCGACGACGTCCCGGTCGAGCGCTGCCAGTTGAGCGGCGAGGCCTGGAAAATCAGAAGTAGGTCAACAACTCAAAGTCACTGTCAAGGACACCGACCGCGGAGGTGCGTATGTCCCGCGTCAGCCGGGTAAACTCCTGAGCATAGTACGAGGAAGTGTGCCACCTGCTCAAGTTATCGGCCAGCCTGTTGTGGACTCCGGGGAGATGGACCGCCTTGAGTTCGAACTGAGACTGGGCGGCGCACAACCAGACGTTACGGAGGCATGATTGTAAGAAGGGGCTTCGCGTTCGTCCCGAATTCAGCACGGTGACTGAAGCTTCATTGTCACATAACACGACTATACGCTGACCGGCCCAGCGGGGGCCACACTTCCTGACGCAGACCAAGATGGATAGCAGCTCCAGGCAGTTGATGCATGGTTGGCGATCCAATACCGTGTGGGGAAAAGTTGCGTGAAAATACTCGCCAGTTGAGTTCAGGAAACCGCCACATCCGGTAAGGCACGCGTCCGAGCTGAAGATCTCGTCAGCTGACGACCAACCGTGCTGGGGTATGATCGAAATGCCGTTATAAGTGGGTAGAAATGTCCGCCACCAGGCAATGTCCTTCCGAAACTCGTCGTCCACTGGAAGCCGTTGAGACCTGTCGGTGAACTGCTTCAAGAACAAAATCATGCGGGATACAAACAACCGACCTGGTCTGACGCAACTGGCAATGAAATGTAATTTGCCTAGTAATGATTCAAGTTCCCGGCGTCGTGTCACCCGTTTGTACTCCCAGGCGCGCAATTCTTCCAAGGTATCGGCGACCCGCTCCGGGGTGACCTCCAAGGTCATGGTCACAGAGTCTACAGTCCGTCCAAGGAATACCATTCTGGTAGAGGGTGGGACCGCTTTCTCCTCGGATTCTTCCAAACCCAACGTGGAGAGTAGACAGCCCAGTTGGTTGAAGGCTTGCGGCGCGCGTTCCACTGTGTCCGCGCCGCCGAAGTCATCCAGGTAATTCACGCACGAAAAACCCATGACGTCGTAGATGTGCGTCACCGCGTTAGTGACAATGACAATGACAATGAACTTTATTGCATATTCACGCCCTGCATGGGCCAAATGCACTAAGCTGGATAACTATAGGTACAGGTATAGAGAAAGCAAGTGTTATACTTCTGTGTTATAACTATAGGTACAGGTATAGAAGACACGTTAGTAACACGTTGACAGGCCTGGCTGGCCGAACGGATCCCGAACGGGAAGACGACATCAGCGTAGTATTGTCCGCGCCAGCAGAAGCCCAGCAGGTGGTAATCGCCTGGGTCTACGTAGAGTTGTCTGTACGCGCGTTTGAGGTCTCTCTTATAAAGTAAACAGCCCGGACCGAGCCGGACAACTATGGAGAGGAAATCGTCCACGGAAGGGTACTTTAAAACTAAACGCTCCCCTAAATAACTGTCCGTAGGGATACCGGCGTTGACTGAAGAGCCCCCTGGGTAGCTAAAGTCGACGACTATCCGTCTCACAGCAGAGTCCTTCTTGGGGACTGTTTGTAAGGGGCTGCACACGAGACTGGGAGTAAAGAAGCCTTCCCGTAACGGTCCTATTGTGGCAACGTGCTGTAGTTCCACTTGAATATAGCTGTCAACGTGCTCCGCGTGCAGTGTTGCAGAACCGTGGTTAGTAAGGGGTACCGTCGGCTGTTGAGCCGCTACATAATTTATCGGAAAACCAAACTCTAACAAATCGCAGATGGGCCAATGTTTTGAATTTTCGAGATAGAAGCGCCACGCTGCGACGTGCAAGCGACTGGGAACCGGGATACGCGGCCCTTTGAAGTTCGGGAGGCCGGATGTTTTGACAGAGTCGTGCCACATACGAAAGATCTCCACTGTGGGGCGAACGTTGTGGGGGGTGAGGGAGGGGCCAGGTCAAGTGAGACTGGAGGCGCCGGAGCGGCTGGCCTAGGTAATGCAAACAGGCTGTGCGGAACCCCGATCATCTGAAGTAACGCCCGGGTGCGACAATAAACAGGGATCATTGTAAACCGTGCCTGGCTGGAGGCAGCGTAGGACATGTGCTCCCGTGGGGAGAGAAGAATACAAGTCACACGAGCCCGGCTCCGGGGCTAGTCGCGGGGCGACGGAACACGCACTAGGAACTGGCGCTACATTAGACGCACTAGCTTTACAATCTGACAGAGAAACAGACACACTGCTTTCGGTACAATCTGGCATAGGAAAATAAACAATGCTATCCTCACAACCTGTCGCAGGGACAGAGACAGAAACCTGGCTAGGTAATAGATAGAGCACGGTTTGAGGCTGACTATGAGGATTTAGAACTGCCCCGCCCACCAAGGGGATTTCATGTCTCCCGAGGCCGGAGGCCGAGGGTGACATGAAATCCCCGAGGTTGGGCGGGCAGTTCTAAATCCGAGTATTCAGCCTCAAACCGTGCTCTATCTAACTTAGAGCACTTCTAGGTCCCCGAAGTTGATCAACTCCATCCACTAGTACTTGATTTTGTTTTATAAATCTTTGTTTAGTGTCACTTTTTGTCTTGTTTCGAGGAGTTGTTTGGTTGTCCATCTGGGCTGATTAACGACCGCTAGGTCGTTAATCAGCCCAGATGGACAGCCAAACAACTCCAAGAAGAGTCAAACCATGTGTGGGGCAGAAAGCTGGACACTGCCATTGGCCAGTTGTTGTTTCCATGGAAATAACAATGGGCGGGTCCAACATAGTGTAATTTATTCGGTTAGTTAGAGCACCTCTGTCCCTAGAGAGGGACCAATTCCAGCTCACTGGTTGGCTGAGAAGAGGGTGGCTGGTTAGTTAGTGCACCTCTACCCCAAGGGAGAGAGGTGCACTAACTCACAAGTATGCTACTATGTGGATATAATCACTAAAAATCCAGGATCCCTATTGGCTGAGGGGACCTAGCAGTGCTCTAATTGTACATTCTGGCATGGGAAAATAAACAATGCTATCCTCACGACCTGTCGCAGGGACAGAGACAGAAACGTGGCTAGTTGTACAATCTGGCATAGAAAAATAAACAGTGCTATCCTCACAATCTGGCGCAGGGACAGAGACAGAAACGTCGTCTTTACAGTGTGGCAGAGAAACCGATACAGCGCCGTGCGGCGGAGAAACAGAAACATCGCAATCGCTACAATGTGACATGAAAACAGTGACATCTGTATGCAGCGGGGAAACATTGCAATCGTCACACCCCTGTCTAACAAACAATGAAGAGTCACGTACCGTACAGTCGTCAATGGGGAAAGAAACGGTTCTATACCCTGTAGCTAACGTGTCCGAGCTAGAGAGAGTTTGTCAGGCGTCCTGTTTACTAGTATCGTCAGTATGGTCGTCCTTCTTGGCCTCTTTGCGGCGACGACAATCGGCCTCGGAGTGTTTGTAGCGCTGGCCCGTCTTGTCCCAGCAGAAAAGGCAAGCGTGGTCGAACTTGCAGGAGGTGGTAGTGCAGCCGTTCTTGTTGTATCGGAAGCATAACTTTGCGGACCGCGATTTCTCGCCGGACGCCGGGGGGGGGTGCGCTCTTGGGTTTCAGCTTGGAAGTGTCCCCGTCGAAGAAAAACTCCTTGAGTGTGTTCCAGTCAGAGCTCCAGGTACCCGTGTTGGATTGGAGTGCACGCTGTACTGCTGCACTGTGGAAGGCGCGTACAACTGACCATTTGTACCGGGCCAGACGGTTGCACGTGTACTGTAGCAGGAGGATCCGTCCGAGTCTCTCCTCTTCCGTCAGCTCGTCGGACAGGAGGAGCCCCATGCTACCGCTGAGGGATTCCTCCGGGGTGAGGTCGTCGTAGTTTTTCACGTCGGCGGACTCGCAATTGAAAACGAATGACCCTGGAGAGAGTACTTTTCGCTTACCTTTTGAGGGGGGCGGCTTGGTAACGGAGGCGCCGTCCAGATGAGCCAGTTTTTCGTCCACCTTGGTCAGCAGCTGGGAGTCTTTTCGGAGTTGATCCAGGGTGACGTCGGCGTCGCCGAGCAGAGCCGCCACGCCGGCAGAGGATCCCGTGCCAGGGACGGTAGGAGGGTGAGGTGAGGCGGTCGTCAGGCGTTGTAGCTTCTTTTCTAGTTCCTGCACTTCGTGTCGAAGCTCTGCATCGCGGATTGCCGCCTCTAGCTCCGCTTTTCGTTGTTGCAGAGCAGCTGTGTCCAGCTGGGTGGTCTTGCCGGTGGTCTCGCCGGTGTTGCTGGAGGTAGAAGAATCCGTCGATTTGTTCCTTTTGCAGTCATTCCCCGCTTCTCCGGCTTTGTGGGTAGATAACGGTTCCCCGCAGCCGGTACAGAGGTTGCCTCGCTTTTTCCTGGGTGAGCGGGGCATGGTTGAAAACGAAGCTTCGGCAGTTTGAGGATGAGCTGACAAATACGTGTTGTCTCCCGCTGGACAAAAACAGACTGAGGAGGAAGGCTGGTGACGCTGAGAGGTCACGGGTCACTAGCTAATTAACAGGTTTGACCCCTCAGGTCCAAACCGCCCCTATTGCCATTCATTCTTTTGCATCTTTTCTGTAGAGACCAATTACTACATTTGCAAATAGTTCCTTGGCTCAAAGACATACATTTACAACAAAGAACACCGTATAGTGTAAAGCAACCAGTTCCTTTTTATCTTCTATAATGAACATTTCTTATAGTGAAAAAATCTATGCATCTCTCACCTTCTTTCTCATCTTCTTCCTCCAGTTTCTGTGTCTGTTGACTTTGCGTCGGCGTCTCGTCCTTCGGTGGTTTCTCCTGCTGCGTTTGCAAAGTCCGCTTCCTTGTCGTTTTTTGTGCTTTTCCTGAGTTTTATATAAAGACGAGAAAGTCAGTGAGATATTATTGCCCCTTCATCTCTATGTGTGTGTTTCTAGATGACGCGTTAAAACGATTTAGAGGTGCCAATTCTCGTGTTCTGTGCATACATGGTAGATTAATGAATAAAACGTCATGCTTCTAATTTTTAAAAGCATTTTCGTTGTCCTGACTGAGTGCGTTGCCCTGTACATGTGTATATTATAATAAAAAGTTTAACTTTATTCCAACACACAGTTTATAGAGAGATCAAATTTTCAGCGACCACTGTCGCCTTCATCAGGATGATTAATGACCAATCACTTCACAGCGTTATCTCGCGAGAGTTACGGTTAACAGACTCGTGACAATATTCACACGAGATTTTACTTATACGTGACGTAAGCAATTGACCTCTCTGTATCAATTGATAATTTGATTTCTCTGTAAACTGTGTGTTGGAACACAGATGAACTTTCATGATTATGTGTATATTATGTCCATTGATATGAAAAAGTGATATTGCATACCTGTAGACTTTTTCCTGACTACTCCTTGGGCTCCTGACGATGTCCGGGTGCGTGGTTTGTCCCGTTCTTGTTGTTCCGCCAATCGTTCTGCCATAGTTTCCTTGAATTCGTCTGGCTCCTCTGTAAGCAATAGATGCCAAATACCGTATGATTCGTTGTTACAGCTGAGACCCGTTTGGCAATTTCATCTTAACCCTATCTAGACCGGGGAGGGGCTAAAAGTGCCCGCGCCAACTTTGATGTCACATAGCGTCTGAACGGTTAGAGCTACAACGGCCAAATTTGGTGACTTTTCCTAGAGTGTTGTTGGCAACGATTCTGTATTTTTGGAATAAGATAATGATTTTTTGGGTTTCTGACAGGCATTTTTTTTAAAATTTAGTAATTTCCGTTTCAACAATAGAATTTTATGTTTTTGTCAAGTTACACATGGTTTCTAATATTCATAACATCTCATATAATTTAATGTAAATGTTGTCATTAAAAATGCATAATTTATGCTAATTTGTGCAAATGATCATGTATCATTGCATGACACGTTCTTATGGGCCCAAACTCACTAAGTAGCAAGATCTATAATGTCGTGCCAGGTGATAGATATTAACATGTTTTTCGGACCTTTTGCCTTCCGCCAAGTCTTGGTCTGTACGCTGGGTGAAATCTCGATGCCGTCTGTTATCGGTTCATTCTCCACAGCCTTCTCTCCCGTCAGCCTCCTGACGACACACGTCTTCCCGGATCTGAACTGACCAACCACGAGCCCGCGCACGCTGTGCACCGGTCGCGCCCCCTGGCGGCAGGCCTGGGAGTACAGCTGCTGCATTCCAGGACCCCGCAGCTGTATTTCAAGTGGAACACTGCTGTCTCCTGGATAAGAAGATTTATACATTTTATCATTTATAATATCACTTATGTCTCATGCACTTACATAAAGCCGACGTCTGATTAGATAGATAGAATGATCTACTGAGTCAAGTGTTTGTATTTCACAGCTAAAATAGTTAGGTGTTATGTGTTATGTGTTACAGACAAAGGAAAAACTATTCTTCTTTTAACTTCCCAAAACCCACTAATTTTAGAAAAGGTGGGACATTACGTCTTACATGGTCTAAAAAAAGAGAAGTCAAACACCTTAGACATTATTTTAAACATAGATATAGCTTAAGACAACTACCTTTTATCATGTAGATATTAGTTATTTTATACTCTGTTTTATTGTTCTTTTATGTTTGTAATTTACAATTAGCCTACGGGCACGAATTTGCAATAAACTTCTCGTTATACCTTCTTTTGTCGACATCCCTAAGTCTTCACGATGTCCCGTGATGTTCTCAGTCCCCATGTCGTCTGTGGGGAGGCTCCGCTTACTGCTGCCTTTACTCCTACGATAGTTGCCGATGAAGTTCTAAAAAATCATTACAAGTGACATTACTGTTAACCAGGATGATACAACAAAACGATGAATCACAATTAATTCGAGGTACAGAGTACGATTTCATAAGTATAACCAGGATGATACAATGAAACGATGAGTGACAATTAATTTGAGGCACAGGGTAACACTCTTGCTACAGAAAATAACGCACGAGTTACACCAACAATAATATTAATTCCAGCTAAAGCTCCTCATCTCTATCAGCACAAAACGTTTTAGCCTTTCCTAAGATACAACTGATTAAGCTCAGAGATCGATCAATTATCACAAAGACACACCTTCACTTGGTCTACAGTTTTCTCGCTCTGCTTAGCTGCTTCTTCTATCAACGGACAATCCTTCTTCGCCTCGGTCATTCCTCTTTCTTCATAGAACCGGACGAGTACAGGATCGTAGCCTTTCTTACGTGTGGAGACTTCCTGTAAACATGCACACGTGAAAGTGAGATTTTTTTGGTATGAGGGCGGTTGTACAATTCTTTCTGACACACTTCCGGTCATTGTAGTAGGCTGTAATTGGACATGTATAATTATACATGTACATGTCTCTATAGATAGATCGCATGCTTTCCAACTTCGCTTATAGGTAAATGTTTCTACGCAATTCTTATGATAGTCATAGAATGCACCTCTCTCCAGCCTGCCAAGCAGAATACAAAAATTCAAATACTATCATGCGTACCAGGGGAACTAAAAAAAACAACTTTATATCATCTTCAACTTGTAGTTTAATATTATCAGCAGTTGTTTGTGGACCGAAGTGTTTCACAAGAAATTTACAGTCATCTTAATCATACTCTTTCATGCTTTATGATTTTGCATTACGTAAGTTTTGAAGCGACTCACATTATTCTGTTGTCGGAGAAGCTTCAGTATTTCCTTTCTACCACGAGTGATTCGTTCTACCTCATCTTTGCTGAGCGGATAAGGTTTACTGGTGTCCTCATCTGCAGCGATGTCCTCCGCCGTTCGACCATCCTAGGAATGAACATGCTGTCAATTATAGCCTTATGAATGTTGAAATATCGGAAATAAACACGAAATAAACATATACAGTAGGTACATCAGAAAAGCCCATGTCTAGAAAGAAATAGGTTTGTAGGTGTTTATGTGATACGATGCAGGAATATCAGAACACATCGTGATTTGTGTGTTTATATTCTAACAACAGCTTCTCCCTGCCTTGGACAGTAATGTATGTATTTAAGTGGATCATCATTTAAAAAAAAAAGTCTTACTTTTGATTTTTTTTCTCCCAAAAGAAGTAAAGCCAGTATTGTATTTCTGGATTGGTAGTCAGTTATTTACCAGAAAAGCCGAAGAATTGACTAACCTTGTTCCTGAGACCGGCATCAGCCCCGTACTGCAGCAGTATTTCCGCACACTTTGGGCGGCCCCATGTAGCTGCGTCATGGAGGGGTGTGTCTCCCTGTTGGGGCATTGACAGTGCAATTTTTCATCCTTAGCATGATCAAATAGCAACACCTTATGAATGTTTATATTTACATCCCTTACTGATTCCAAGCTCGCTTGAAACCATCCCCTACCTTTGCCATTCATACTGATTGTTTCTAATAATGGATGATAACGGTATCACTAACAATTTAAATCTTGTCCTGCTGACATTTCTGCACAATACTTTTCAATTTCTTGTCTAAATCAGGTTATAGACCCCTGCAATTTTGGGCCAAGCGATGGCATAGTTACTTCCGCATTCGTTGCGTTTCGCTGCGGTGTCATGCGTTGCACGAAAATAGCCCCAAATTGTACATATACAGGACATGTATGTGCAACCCATATATGGGCGCAGAAGGACAAGAGTAAAAGTAGACATTTAATAAAAGCATGCTTTGTGACACAAAAAAAGTTCGATGTATTCTGAAAGTTGAATATGGTGTATAGCCCCATGCGTTCAAATCCGTACCAGCTTCATGTTGGCAACAGTTGAAATAAACCGCTAAGTAAGAAAATGAGAAGATGAATGTCAAATCTTACAAGATGATACAGAAATATTTCTTGTTTCTCAGCAATCAGTCTACCTACCGACACGGTCCGTGCGTTCACATCTGCACCAGCTGTCAGTAAAACTGATACAGTTTCATGGTTACCATTCATGGCTGCCAGGTGCAGGGGAGAGACTTGCTGTAAAATAGATCAGATAGACTTCAGCATGACAACAGGTCGGACGAAGTGCACCGTCGAAAGTTATGTTGGTAACAGTTTAAATGGTAGACAGCAAATAAACCACTAAGTAAGAAGATTGAGAAGATGAATGTCAAATCTAACAAGATGATACAGAAATATTTCTTGTTTCACAGCGATCAGTCTACCTACCCGATAGTCCCGTGCGTTCACATCTGCACCAGCTGTCAGTAAAACTGACACAGTTTCATGGTGGCCATTCCCGGCTGCCAGGTGCAGGGGAGAGTGTTGCTGTAAAATACATCAGATGGTCTTCAGCATGACAAAAGGACGGACAAATGTGCAGTTATTTTGTTAACAATTCTAACGGAATTCAGCAAGTAAACCGTTATGTAAAAGATGAATATCAAATCTTATAAGCGATAAAAATGTTTCGGAAATAAAGTAGTCAGTCGACGTCCACCTACGTTATCGTTCATTGTGTTCACATTTGCACCAGCTGTCAGTAAAACTGACACAGTTTCATGGTGACCATACTGGGCTGCCAGGTGCAGGGGAGAGTCTTGCTGTAAAACAAACAGATGGTCTTCAGCATTACAACAGGTCTGACAAATGTGCAGTTATTTTGTTGACAATTCTAACGGAGTTCAGCAAGTAAACCGCTATACAGCTGACATTAAATGGTCTTAAGCACGACAACAGGTCGGACAAATGTTCATGTCGGTGGCAGCTCTAAAGGTAGTCAGCACATCAACCGTTATGTAAAAATGAATGTCAAATCTTACAAAATGGTACAGTAATATTTTTTTGTATCGCAATAGTCAGTCTACCTACATAATCGTCCCGTGCGTTCACATCTGCACCAGCTGCTAGCAAAGCTGATGCAGTTTCATGGTGACCATTCTGGGCTGCCTGATGCAGTGGAGTCCCTTGCTGTAAAACACATCATGGCGGGAACTAGTAGTAAGTAGTAAGAAGTAAACTAGTAGACGTAAAATTGGAGCAGCTGAAGCGACTGGTACAAATTCGGAAAATTCAAAGTATTGCTTTGTTTTGTCAAATGTTACGGATATGTTACAGACAAGCTGAAAGCTGAAGACTGGTGCAGCGACCAGTGCGGCATTGCCCTTCCCATCTGTGTCTATTTTGCCCCTACCACCTCTTGATTTTCATTGCACAGCCTTAAATTCTTCATCACCATATATATGCAAAATGACGAAAGACATGGCAACAAACCACAAGGTCACGAGCAATAGGGTTGACTCCCTCCGCTAACAGCTGCTTCACTCTGTCCGTGTCTCCTTCCTCTGCAGCCTTCAGCAGCGCCTATAGCGGCGGCAGACAGGAACAGGAGAAACAACTGTCAACACTCAGTCAATCAGAACAACACTCGGCATGTGAGAAGATTTAACACCTATCCCTTCATTTATCCGTCATACTGATATTTCACTTCCTTTCATGTCTCTCCGTGTAAAGTTATAAAAAGACATATCATTTATCTCCTGTATTTGTACATAGCTCACATATGTTTATTGTTTATTTCAGACTCAACGGCCCATAGTATACAGACACATAACATGGTACAAACACATCTGAAAACAAACATCAAAGTATGTACAGATAAATGTAAAAAAAAAAAAGACTACCGAGCTGTCCTGCCGCAAGGAGGCCACCTTACGTTGGGCAGCCCATCTACATCAGGCTAGAGGAAAAGGCCTGTTATAGATATACACCACCATATGGGGCTTGTCTGTGTGTAACACCACTTCTATTTTTATAATGTTTTCTCTACGCTACCTTCTCGTCTTCCTCCTTTTTCTTCCAACTCGACTCTTCAGACCCGGAATCCTCTGCCCCGGACTCCTTGTACTCCTCCATGTTCTCCTGTTCTCTTCCGTCCATGTCTGGTCTGACCCTACAGATAGATACACACCACCTGCCTAGTGACACCTGTCCTAACTGGACTAGATGGATCTAGTGCCTTCCTGTAACGCAAACACAGACCCAGGAATATATCATTTCTCTCCCTAAACAATATTATGGTAGTGGAACAGACCGTGCTTCATGTACAGTTCGCTCACGACATACCTGATTTACAAATTATCATGGTTAAAGCGTAAACGAACACTGTAGATCAAACTGTACCAACAAAGGAGTAATAATTTCAAAGCCATACAGGCATAGCGTCAATAACAGTTTATCTGTGTGCTAAAGAGCTGTGGTAAAAGTTTCTTTAGTTTGTGTACTTTAGGCGCTGCTACATCTGGCAGGCGCCGTTATGCACCTGTTACTTCCGGGTTTACCTGGACTTTTCCAGAAGTGTCTTGGGAGAGTCTGACGACCTTTTCCCAGTCTTTAAGGTCTCTGCGGGGCTCTTTGACTCTCCAGGAACCGAAGGCTGTTAGTTCTGACGACACAAGACGTACAGGTGAGTTCTCACGGCGTCTTAAAGACAGAGCAGGTCCGTTACGTCCGCAGGTAAAAAGGTCAAATAAGCTTCGGTAGGTCTCCCATGATTCATAGCGCACGCGATGACGTACTCCATAGTAACGGGGTGAATGACCTCAGGACGATTTGCCGGTATACTGGCTGTGGTTAGTGTGGAACGAGTATATCTTAGATGAATGGTAACCTTATATATCGTGTATATCTTAGATGAATGTTGACCTTGTGTAATACACAGGCTCATAACTCACACATTGAATACGTCCTAACATTTCAATTGTCTGTCTCTATGTCTTGATCTGCTTTTCAGCCAGGAAGTACTCAAACAAGGCTAGGTTTTCCATTATTTTGCTAAGCTTCGTACAATTTCCGTCTTATTATCTCAGTCTAGTTTAACGGCTGTATCAAGCATATTACATTATTTCACTACAAAAAAATAGATATGAAATCTTTATCTCGGGAATCATTGAGATAGAAGGTAACTATCTCATTAATTCACTAGATAGAGAAAATGAATCCTTCTTTCGTGAATTATTGAGATGAAGGTATGCATTGTCTATGTAGTGAAACTATTTCATTATATTTATGGGTTCACCACACCACGAAGTGGTGTGGTGAAACCATATTGCTTTTTCTGGTGTTTCTTCTTCTTCTCCTTCTCCTTCTCCTGCCATTTTTTTAATGGATTCAGCTTCTTCATTTTAGGGTCCAAGGTCCTGAAATTTGGTATGGAGGTACAGTGGGCAAATAACCCTAGGCGTTTTTTAAATTATTGTGATACAGGCTTTTAGAATGGTTTTATTTGAGTTTTTTGGCTGTGTTATAGCAAATGTATTACTGTGTTAGTGTGCCTTGTTTACCACGTTTGGGCATGAGTCATCACAATGGAATGCAGGGCATCAACCAATAGGCATGCAGCTTTCCTCTATTCTTCTTGCTGATTGGCTGTTGGGATTTAACTTGATTAACAGACTGCACAGAGCATTTACACCTGCACAGAGCATTTCTTGCTGATTGGCTGTTGGGATTTAACTTGATTAACACCTGCACAGAGCATTTCCATACTGACAGTATGTCTGTATTCAAGTGTTTTGGTAGGTATTTCAAGCTTTCCTGCTCCAGCATTGGAATGCGGGGCATGGACGTTTTTTTTTTTATTTTGAAAATCAACAGTTTGCATTATGCAATTAAAAATCCTAACCAATAAAGTAGGGAATAGCTATCCAACTGTTGTTTTAGTTGTATTTTACTTCATATTATAGTTATATCAATGTAAATCATTGTTTTCCCTTGTGTTTCTCATTCTTTCCCTGCCATGTCGTAAAATGTGGTGAACCCATCGCTGTATTTGCTCCAAAGCAAATATTGGCCTTTCTAGTTAAAAAATGAATTATTAGCAGTTAAAGGAGTTATCACCAGTTTTTACAGTTATCACGGGTTTCCAATTGAATTTCCAATCAAAAATTCGTAAATGAATGTGATACATAATCAAGTCTGATAGACAAGCAGAATTTTGTTTAGTTTCTGCACGTTATGGAGAGTAGAAACGTGTGGCGATGGCTTGTGAAGAAAACGCTTGTAGATTTTGTTTAGTTCGTGCACGTTATGGAGAGTAGAAACGTATGGTGATGGCTTGTGAAGAAAACGTTTCTAAATTTTGTTCAGTTTCTGCACTTTATGGAGAGTAGAAACGTATGGCGATGCCTTGTGCAGAAAACGTTTCTAGATTTTGTTTAGTTTCTGCACGTTATGGGAAGCGGAAACATATGGCGATGCCTTGTGAAGAAAACGTTTCTACATTTTGTTTAGTTCGTGCACGTTATGGAGAGTAGAAACGTATGGCGATGCCTTGTGCAGAAAACGTTTCTAGATTTTGTTTAGTTCGTGCACGTTATAGAGAGCGGAAACGTATGGCGATGCCTTGACGTGTGAAGAAAACGTTAAAGATTTTGTTGATTTCGTGCACGTTATAGAGTAGAAACGTATGGCGATGCCTTGTGCAGAAAACGTTTCTACATTTTGTTTAGTTCGTGCACGTTATGGAGAGTAGAAACGTATGGCGATGCCTTGTGCAGAAAACGTTAAAGATTTTGTTGATTTCGTGCACGTTATGGAGAGTAGAAACGTATGGCGATGCCTTTTAGCAAATTAAGATATATTCATGTGAACATGCTCTGATACAAGATGTTATGAGTAATATTGTTCCCAGTGACATTTTGAGAATATGGGTAGTAAGAAGAACCCCATAATAACCGTGGACTAGTTTTGATTTATTTGAGCCCAATTGGTACAACTGTTCATGCTAAAATGGAAATAACATTCTAAATAGAATGTCCAGCTCAATTTTTCTAGGCACTATTATGGTGTTGTTGTTTTTTTTGTAAATGCTATATTTCACTGGTGAATCCCTAATAATATTACTCTTTTTGATCTGTTGTGTCCGGTCGTATACACACGTACATGTATACGAGTCGACTCACGGATACGTTCCGAGATGAGGCTCGTGGTGCGTAACAGCGTATACAGCTGGTTCTCTAGTGCAAAGAAGTAGGGTCTATCAAGGGTGCTGTGAAACGATCGCTCAGATTCCTCCAAATGTCTGTCTCAATATCGCACACGTGTATCCTATCAAATTCAACCCCCATGCAAAAGATCTCTGTTCCCATGGCAATGGCTGTGAAGAGGCAAGGGATGCGTCCTGGTGGGGTCTTCTTACACCACTGGTCTTGGAGTGGGTCGTAGCGATGCATTTCTGTTTCGAAGAAGACATAGATGTGCGAACCACACCCCACCGTCTTGTTTAAATTCGATTTTTGATGCTTAGGCAAAATATGATGCATGGAAAGAACTGGAAGGAAACGCTACATCCTGTTTGTAACATGTCCGTCTGGGAGAACACAGGCGGTCATTTCAACCAGAATCAAGTCAAAACATAACCATATTTGGCCAGGAAGGTTGTTTAGAGTTTAGAGAGAAGTAATATGATTGTGCAAGAGTTCCATTATTGTCGTTTTTTTTACAGTGGAAGAGTGGGAAGAGTGGGAAGGTATTGATAAGGAAAAGTTACAATCTATAATTGGTTCCTAACGTCTTCTTCTTTACAGTAAAAAAAACAAACAAATCCAAACGTGAGTGAATGAAGAGAAAGTTCATATAATCTACATCTGTAATGGTATGCCGTCCAACTCTGTTTATCAAGTCCTGACAACTCTATAACACAATCATCATTTAAACTGGAGCGTCTGCGTTGTCCTCAAACATCATTTCATCCTACAAACTTACACTTATTAGAATACTGAATTGGAAAATCTAATTGGAAAATCTGTAGTATCAAATCCTAGTATGAAATCTAATGTTGCATAGCAATAAAAAAAGTACAAGAGCTTGTAGGGATCCACTGTGTACAAGCTTATATGGAATGTTGATTGTTCTCATTATGTTTACAACAGTTCAGAATGAGCATCAGCAGAGTATTGCCACTTGAGAAAGTCCCTTTACCAGGTCGATATGGACACTTGATGCTTTACCCACATATCCATTAGTTTTGCAGAATTGATGACTTTTGGAATACTTATACATGTACACCTATTTACTGGTATATACAACATGTTTGACAAACGGTTGCTCCAGATGCGTGTGCACTGTAGGTTCTGAAGCCATATTAAGTAGAACTGTCAAGTGTCATTTGCCAGTGGGTGAAACTCTGTGGTTAAACGTTCAGCCCTCCAGGCCAACGGTTTGGAGGAGCTTGCTGTGTGATTCAGCCCAGTACTCTGACTCCAGAAGCTTCTTCTTCAAACTTTGTGCGGCCTTGAACTCTCTGGGTCCGTCCTTCAGGATCTTGATGATGCGCTTGGACAGCGTTTTGGCGGCTTCCTCATCGTCATCGTCGATCTCTACGATCGTGCGGTCAAACTCGGGATCTTGTTTCGTCAGGAACTTTGCAAGACCAGATTTGCTGGAAATCACGACTGGCACCCCTGCGGCAATGGCCTCCAGACCAACCAGTCCGAATGGCTCTGCACGAGACGGCATCAGGACGACATCGGCCTTTCTCATGTCCTCGCACAGCTCCTCCTGTGTACCGTATTCCAGAGGTGTGAAGGGTACGAACTGGAATCTGCCCGTGTTGGCTTCGATGATGCTCCTGCTTGCTTGAAAATCATCACGTCTGAAGCCGCGAAGCCGCCACTTCGTGTTGGGTAGCTTGTCGATCACCTTGCCCATGGTCTTCGCAGCCAGATCAACGCCTTTCAGCCTCTCCACACCCTTGACCCTGCCGATGGACAGCACAACTTTCGTTTCCGTGTCGGCGGGTGGCTTCAGTTTCATATCGATGAAGATGTCAGAAGGCTTTGGCAAGAGTTCATGATGTTGTAGTGTTAGCTGATTCGTCTGATGCCTGTAGTAGTCATACATCAATGGCCCAACCGAGAAGAGAACATCAGCATCTCGTAGGTCATCCAGAATGCTGAGACTTTCCTGTCCGATGCTCATCACCTTCTCATCACCCTTGTACTGACTGGTTTCTTCTGGCATGACGTGGGTGACCTGGATGAGTTTGGCGCCAGGAAAGCGTTCCTTGATCCGTCTTGCTGCATGGCTTGTGATGTGGACGTGGCCGACGATGAAGTCTACATGTGAGGGAAGGCCTGGATATCGGGCCTGGTGGTCAAATGTTAGCCAGGAGATTTCTGCTTTTCTCCGATCACGTGGAAACGTCGTTGGAAAAATCAACTGAATTCCATCAGCAGCCGCGTCATCCTTGTCTTGTTGTGTGGCATTCAGGACTGTGCAAAGG